GTCAGTAACACCCAGCTTTCCCATCTCTCACTTTTGGGTTGTTCCTAAAAATTTTTACTATCTTTTTTTTTTTTTTTTTTCCAAAGAGCACTTCCTGAAATGCCTTCTTGTCTTAATGTAGGCATGAATTTCTAGGGGAAACGTGTTGCTAAGATCCTCTTCAGCAGTCTTTGAGTCAATTTTGTGCTATATGATGAGTAGCATGCAAAGATCTTGATGGAAACAATATAGGAAAATGAGGCAATGGAGTGACTGCAAGTGTCCTAGGAAAATAAGGCAATGGAGTGACTGCAAGTGTCCTACTGCTATGATGTTTGCACTGTTCTGTTTTGGCTCAGATCATAGACCCCTGCAGCCTTCAGGAAATATACACATTTCTAGGGTATGAGAAACAAAAAAAGAAATGGAGCAATATGGTGACTTTTAGACGAGAGGCTTATATGGGACTGGACAGTGACAAAAATTGTGTCTGTTACTCTAAGGGCTGTGCGAATACAGGCATTGCAAATTCTTATCTGATCTGCATGTTTTTATGTTTTTTAAAATTACAAGAGTATTGCAAAACAATAAAGTGTCCTGGGAAATGCACTGCCAGAAGAGGGTAAACAAAAACACATACAAGTGCCCTCTTAGGCACAGTATTTGCATCTTCGTAGCAGAACAAACTCTCTGCCTTGGCTCTCTGTGCTCTCACTGAAGTGGAGGTCATGGCTAGTGACAACTGGGAGCTGTTCCTGGAGTCTCTCTTGCCTTTTTAGGTTATGAGGGTCTCTGTGTGTTTAGGATAAATATGATTGACAGCTCCACTCCGGCCCCAATTAGCACCCTATAATTTATTAGCTTCTGCTTTCAGATTATGCGCTAACTTCACAAATATTTCAACCACGGAAACAGCAGCTATCAAGTGTCTCTTTCCTGATCCAGCTCCCTGTGACTGCAGTTAAATACACAGACAGAGCTGTGCAGGTCTGTCAAGAGAGAATAATCATTTGTGTCTGTGTGCAAGAGGGGCTGTCACAGCTCTTTAGGACTCTGCTTGTGGAAAAAATAAATAAATAAATAAAAAATCCCTGGCTCTGCTGGGCCAGGGGTTCAGAGCTGGTTCCTGCTACCAGGGAGCAGGACTGGAGGCCAAGGTGCTGCCTCTTTTTGTTCAGCTCTGTTTCTTGTACAAGTACTGACACTTCAAACACCTACTGCTGCCCCTTTGCTCCTCATGGTGCCAGGTGGGTAGGTGTGTGAGGAGAGAGGCTGCCTGAGGCAGGGCAGCTGTGGATGGAGGTTGGGGAATGGAGACGATGTCTGGGGAGAGGACGAGAAGTGGAGAAGATGAAGAAGACAGAGGTGGGGGTGCTGAGCCCGGAGGCACTGTGCCAGGTGGGGCAGGAGGGCTGCACCCAGGGGGCTCGGGCAGGAGGAGGGGGCACACAACTCTCCGATGCAATCTGCTCAAGGGTGCGGGGCACAGCATTCATGGGGTGTCCCTGCTTGGGGAGGCAGTAGAAGGTGTGCTGCAAAACAACTCCTTCTGTGTGGTTAGAGACGGACACAAATGGTAGGACATTTCTGGTCTGAGCTGCTTGTCAGTGCAGTTGGGTTAGTGCAGGCTAACTGTGGTGGAGCTAAAGGAATGGATCACTTCCCAAGGCTGTACCCTGAAAGCTTAAGGGCTGACTGAAATAAGGCTTTTTCTTTTTCTTTTTTCTTTCTTTTTCTTTAACTTTTTTCTTTCTTTTTCTTTTTTTATTTATTTTCCTATTTTCTTCTTTTCTTTTCCCTTTTCTTTTTCCTTTTTTTCTTTTCCTTTTTCTTTTTTTCTTATCTTTTATCTTTCCTTTTCTTTTTTTTTTTTTCTTTCTTTTCTTTTCATTTTTATTTTTTATTTCTTTTTCTATTTCATTTTTATGTTTCTTCATTCTTTTTCTTCTTCATCTTCTTTTTGTTCTTCATCTTTTTCTTTTCCTTTTCCTTTTTCTTTTTCCTTTTTTCTTTAATTTTTCTTATTCCTTTTTATTTTTCTTTTTTATTTTCTTATTTATTTTTTCATCTTTCTTGTTCTTTTTTTCTTTCATTTTTCTCTTTTATTTTTCTTCTTTCTCTTTTTCTTTCCATTTTTCTTTTTTTTTCCCTCTTTCTTGTTCTATTTTTTATTTTTTTCCCCTTTTCCTTGCACTACCTTATAGTCCTATTTCCCTATGCAGAATTGCCTAAACTGTAAAACAAGTGCCTCACTACTCCACATAATCACACCACAAGTCTCTCTCCTTCCCCTGCTGCAACTGCTCCTCTGGGTGGCAGGCCAGGGAAGCCAGCCAGGACACCACAATCCCCCAGAGGAGCTGACTCGCCTTTCTGTAATCAAAAGGGCATCTTAATTACAGCCCTTGCCCAGAAAAAGATGCACGGGAACTGCCAGTCAGAGGCCCCTGCTGCATCTAAAGCCACCCGTAGCATTTTCCTCCCTTCTAGGAAGGGACCAACCTTTAAGCCCTAGCTACGGCTTGTCACGAACCTAAATAGGACTTCAAAGGTAAAGCGAGAAGGGATGGCTTCTGACCCAAGGAGGAGACAGGGCAGATACATTTCCCTGGAGACGGGCAGAGCACAATCCAAGGGAGGCGCAGAGGGGTTTTCAGCTTTCTCCTCCCCTCCCGCTCCCCTGGGGGCTCCAGTGGGAGACCCAGTGGGACAGACGGCAGGAAGGAAGGAACATTTACCCTAAAGTGAGCTGACATGAGGCTTCAAATGCAGGGACACATATATTTGTCTCTTAGGAGCCCTGCACTGCCTTCTTGCAACTGCAGCTATTCCATGGGGAGACCTTTGGTAAAGTACAGAGGAGACTGCGGCCACAAATACCGCGTCCCATCCCTACTTTCTCCAGCAAATATCACCGTCAGCCTCTGCATTCACTAAAACAATTTTACTCTGTGCTGCACTCAGTTTCAGTTATTTTCAGAGCAGGGATGAAATGTCTGCAGCAAACATGCCTGGAGCTCGCTCCACACGCTGACAAGCAGTGGCTGAGCAGATTCACCTCTGTGCCTCCTTTAATGCCAACCTGCTGCCACCCCAGGCCCTTCGCCTCCTGTCCTGGTGTCTTCGCGGATGGGCCATGAGTGGTGTTTGTTTGTTAGGGCATAGCTGGAGAGCAGCAAATGGTGCTAATCTGCATGCCACGCTCAGGAGGGGCACCTGGAGGGTATGCTCCTCAGGCTGTAGGACTGGGACCAACAGCCCTGCTCTTCTGGTGTGGGATCAGCACGTGGCATATAAGACAAATGTAACGTATAAGAACATATAAAAAGCATACCTTTTGCATTTTCAGATTTCTTGCAAACATTCAGGATTAAGCAATTAAACTGCGATGCAAAGAGGAATAATGCAGATTTATGAAATGGCACTGAGGTTATTGCATGAGGAGACTCCCCTCCCCTGTGCCAGGCAGTCTGTAGCACAGGATGAAGTTCCTCCTCTAGCAACATGAGCTGCAGCCCCAGTCCTGCAAAGCCTCACTCCCAAGCCTAAAGGTGGGAGCTGTGAGCAGCCCCCGCAGTCAGGATAACCCACAGAGCCAAGCTCTGCAAGGCTTAGGCAAAACAGGGCACATACATGTACACCTCCAGACTGCAGCGCATCTGGAGTAGGAGCACTTTAAAAAGCTGGTTTGCATAGCACCTAATGCTATAAGCCACAATCCTGACTTTACTGTTTGGATGTTTCCATGATATGACAATAAGTACTTGGAGAGCAAATATCAATAGCAATGTTCGTGTATTCATTGCATAAATCCTCATGCTTGAAAATGTTCAAAATCAAAATGAATTGTAAATGCCTATGAAGTAAACAAGTGTTTTTTATTTATAAAAATGCTTCCAAATGTATTTGGGCTGTATTACCCAGTCATCCTCACTAGGAGGAGAAAGAGAAAATGAGAAAGAAAAAAAAAAAAAAAAGAAATTGCACTGAAGCACAACCAATGTTACAGCCCAACTAATCTTTAAAAACAAAAAATAAAAAGTTTAAAAACAGACTAAGGAAAATGCAGGCAAGTGTTCATAGAATGATCTTGCTATCTCCAGCCTCTGCCCCAGTTAAATACCACTTCAGTTATTTTTCTACTGCAAAATGCTGCTGCCTTCTTTCTTGATAGAAGCCTCAGAACACTTTTGGTTTAACCAGTACTATAAAGCCTGGAGTTGTTTGCTCACCCTTTACAGTGTGTCTGGCATCTGGCTGACTGGGGACTGAGGACGAAATGCCCGTGAGTCTGGCTGAAGTGACCATGGCAAGTCACCTCCTGCCATTTGCCCAGCTCTGGCTGGGTATGCTCTGCACACTTTGTATTTCAAAGCCCCTCCTTTGCTTAATAAGAAATAAGAAAGATTCTCACAATATTTGTTCACACTGGTTTCTTATTTTCTTGTTCTTAACACTCCTGTTCTTTCCCATAAATTCTTTCTCTCATTTATTGCTGACCTAGGAGGAGCAAGCTCTGGTTATTCAACACTTTGCCACCTTACACCAGGTTTTGGAAGGTGAAAACCCTCAGAACAGTACAAAAGTCCATTTTCTAACACTGCTTCTCCTAGTGAGAGGACTGTCCTCTCACACACACTGAACTTTGTCAGCCTTCAAAGACATTACATTAAGAAAAAAAGAAAAAAAGCCATAGTGTTGGGATCAGATGCTTTGCATGTAAAAACATCAGCTTTTAAGTATAGGGGGAAATTGCCACTTTTGCACTGTTTCATTAGCCATTCATCACTCTGTAATAGCATTTTAATTTACCAGTGCAAAATAACCATGCTGATTGTTACAGTCCTTTCTTCTATTGGCTTTGTGAAGAAGCATCTCTTATTACAGGGTACCACCTTTGTTTTAACCCACCTTAAAAATACAATGTACACTAAAATGTAGTATTACCACAGTTTTGCATTTTCATATCTTTTGCATTTATCACCTTATTTTTTACTCATTAGGAAAATACTTTCAACTGCTAAGATTTCTATTTAGCTTTAATGCAAAGTAATAAAATAACTCACTTCATCCACACTACAGGTATTTTTCCTATTTCATCCTGAAGTTTCTAGTCTGCCTCATTTCTCTTTGTTTTAATTCTTCATAAAAGCACACAGGGTGAAAGAAAGAGATACCTTTAATGCAGCTTTCCTACTGTTAAATAGATATCTTATTCCCTCTTTCAAAACAAAACAAAACAGCTATTAAAGTGACAAAATGACAGCAACAAGTAGACAAAGGGAAACGTTAAACCCAGACCTATTGTCCATCATGGGCTTTTCCTTAAAATTGTTGGGTTGAGGGCAAACAGTTTTTCGTTTCCTTCCCCCACTTCTTTAAGAGGGTTTAGCTTTCACCATAAAATATTTCTTGTAAAAAAAAAAGAAAAAAAAAAAAAAGAAAGAAAACAAACAACTGTTACGTATCCAATGCAAATGCCAAACTCTGAGAAGTGCCACCTTGGTTTTTGTATTTCTGGAGTTTGAACAGTTGTCCACAGAACAGCTGCATTTCTGCAAGCCCAAGGCAGGTGGCCCAAGCTAGACGCTTGCCACTCATTACCACAAAACTGAAAAATCTGACCAGTTCCTTGGTAGTCCAAAAATGTTCATGAGTTCCAGTTTCTTCTCCTTTTACTTTTCTATAATGTAAAGTAAAAATCCAGTTCAAAACTGCTAAATAGATTTTCCCATGTTGCATTCGAGAAATAATTTTCACTGCCATAAAAAAATATTCACACCACTGAAAAAAAAAAAAAAAAACCACAAAACAAAAAAACAAAAACAAAAATTTCCTCTGTCTCCTGTATGAAGGCCAGTGGTTTTGCATCACCATACATGATGTCATTCAACTCTTTTAAAGCAGTCCGACTGCAGTTCAGGGAGTGGAGTTTGGTTAAATAGAAGTTCATGGTCTTTGGCTCTCCTCTCTCAACAGAAGAGTTTTCCTCTCCAAAATAAGTCTAAAGGACCATCCTTGCGATGCCAGGTTGCTTTAAGTCCCGTTGTCTTTCCCAGGCTGCAGGGCCACGGTGGGCTTGGAAAAGGGCAAGGGGGGTCTGGGAGGCTTTGAGTCAGCTCATCAGCTCAGAAGGGATCCACCACAGAAGGAGTAACGTCGAGCTGCAAACCAAGACCAGAAGCTGTTACAAAGTGACCCGACTTCAGCTCCGAATGCCACCATGCCTAACAGGCAGAGATCTAGAGGGGAGAGCCAGGGGAGGAAGAGTGAAGGACAGCTCTAAAACCAGTACAGATCCTTGCTTTTGTCCTGAGGCTGCAAACCTGAGAATGGAGAGAAGAAAAAAAAAGGAAGAAGAAAAATAGAAACAGGTGTTTAAGGACAGAGAAAGACAAACTTCATTTCTGCCACACGAGATTGAAGGCTCAGCCTAAGTCATGGGCTCCTAAAGCAGGGCTGGAAGGAAGCAGTGAGGCGAGAAGAGCCTGGGCTTCTCCGGAGGCAGGCATGCATCCCTGTTGAACCTGAAGCAAGGCCACCTTATGGAGCCATTTGTGGCTGTGGTCACCAAACTTCAGCCAGAGGAAGCTGGAGCAGGCTTTCCTCGCCTCTGCTGCCACTGGCTGAGGAGTCACCTCTTTGGCATGTCTGTCACCTCTCTGTCATGGCTACAGGCCTTACGTCCAGGCATCTGATTAGACAGACGCTGGACACCAGTACCAGCCTCACTGGCCACAGCAATAACCGTTGCCCTTTTTCTGTTGTTATTATTTTTTGCTGGGCAAATGCAAGGGTACATTTCTTTTCAAAGACTGGGAGAAAAAAAAAAAAAAAAAGTAGCTGGGGTTGTTTATAAACCTACAGTACTTTACAGAGCCATGCAGCTGCCTGCACACCTGCTCCATGGCAGGAGCCCAGTGATGGCCCTTGGGGCTCCGTCCTACTGCCAGCCCTCGCAAGGACAGAGCAAAAGGGCTCCAAAGCATGAAGGGCACACGGGCTGGAGCTGGGGGCTTCCAACCCCAATTTATTTCCCCTTAGGGCCCCACCACGCTGGGTCCTCCCCTCCTACCATCTTCATGGGGGTGGCCCTGAGCCGGGGGGACAAAAAGGGGCTGGGGGCTGCTCTTCACCTGGGTCCACGTTGAGGCCGAGGCTTTGTGCCATGTCCCCCGCCGCGTTGGGGAAGGGTGCTGGTGTTGTCCAAGTGGCAGTGGCACCTGCCTCGGCCTTTCCCAGGTCGCAGGGGGGGCTGACTGGCGTGGGCACGGCGGCGGGTGTGAGGCGGTGGGGGCGGACAGAGGCGGTGGGCACCAGCAGTGAGCCGTAGCGGGGGTCGAAGTGGGGGCCGTAGACCTCGTGCACGGCAGCAGGGCGAGGGTAGGCGGTGCTCTGTGTCCCGAGGTAGGGGTGGTGGTGGTGGTGATGGTGGTGGTGGTGGGCATGGTGCCAGGCCTCGGGGCCACCCTGGTGCAGGTGGCCGTGCAGGGAGGCCGGTGCGTAGGGGTCGGTGGCAGCGGCGAAGGGCAACTCGCTGTGGGCGGCGGCGGCCAGGGGGCTGCTGAGGGTGGCAGGGACCGAGGAGGGCTGGTAGGTGCTGTTCCAGAAGGATGGGGGGAAGCTGCGCTGGCTCATTGGGAAGGAGCCATCTAGTGTGGAAGAGAAGAGAGAAAAGGGAGGTGAGCACCCAGTGATGCCTTTATCCCCCAGACCACTGCTGAACACAAGGAGCTGCTCCCCACAAGAACCGATTCCTCTCCAGCCACACATTCAACATGCCTAGCCCAGGGATGATCCATGAAAATGGAGCAATTTGCTCCAGGTTTCTTTTAGTAGCTGCTTAAGGAAAAGATTGTTACTTAAGGCAAGGGAAATACCTCTTTCCCTCAGTAGTGAAAAATGAGTCAGTTATTGTGCTCCACAATAAGTTTCTGGGCTAGATTTCTCTTGTTTGTTTGTTTGTTTGTTTTGTCCTAATCTCACTGTCCAAACATTTATGCCCAACACCTCAGAGGATGCCCCAACCCTGACAGGAAAGCCACTGCTTCCTTGGTGAAGTTTCAGAGTGGACAGCAACACTGTGAGATGTGACTATGTGCCAGCTTGAATTTTCTAAACATCTGGGGAATTATTTTTTTTTGTTGGCAATTTTTTTCCCATCTATTGCATTGGGCTTGTGCCTGTTTATTGGATATACCACTAACATATCAGGGAAGCATTCTGTGGATCTTTAGGGATTGGCAGGGTGAAGGACAAGGATCCTGTATTTTCCTTGTTCAGTAAGCCATGTGTGAGGTGGAATAGTGATTGCTAACACAGAGATAGGTGCTACGCATGGCTGGTCGGGAATGCACAGTGTTGCTGAAACAAATGAAAACGTGCCCTTAATCCACATTTTCCGGGGAGGTAAATTAGCTCAGAGCCCTGAAATTACTCAGGAGAAGGGGAAGCAGTTCATGACGGACAAGGAAATCTCTCTTCTTTCAGCACTGAGTGCCTTCCGCCCATGAAATACTTCAACTAGCATGTCAGTCTTAGAAGCCACCAATGGGAATTTCATGAAGAGACTGGGAATAAGCTCTCAGCTAGGCATCTGGCCTGGCGATGGGGGTCCCGGAAAGCAGGACAGGTTATTCCCTGCCATATCGAGTACCCCATGAGTCCAGTCTAGGGTAAAACAGGGCACAGCTATGGAGAATCTCTGCAATTTCGGGTCCTTGCCTCTGACCATGTCAATGACACACAGTTGGATGATGCACGGGGTCATGCATCTTCCAATTTGCAGCGGTGGGAACCTGCTGAGCTCCTTCCCATGGCCTCTTGTCCTTCTGCTCCCATCTCCATTCCCCACCTCACCGAGCCCAAAGCCGCAGTGGCCAAGCCAGATCCCGCAGCCCTCCAGCCCCTCACCCTACACCCCCTCACCCCGCACCGCGCTCACCCCGCCAGGAGCCGGCGTTCCTCGCCTTGGCGCTGCCGAGGGAGAAGCTGCTGGGCTGACTGAGGGCCCGGCTGAAGTGCTCGTCCACCACGGCGCTGATGTCCCCCTGGAAGTAGGTGAAGAGCACGCAGCGGGAGCTGATGTACTCGGCCTCGGGGGGTCGCTCCTTCTCGGGGCTGCAGTCCTCCTCCTTGATGCTGGCGGCGGCGTGGCCGGAGAAGGAGCTGCTGGTGCTGGCGCTGCTGCCGCTCTCCGGGGCTTCTTGCATTTTGGAGTAAAAGGCGAGTTTCTGGAGGAAGGGGGAGGCAGGGAGGGAGAAACGAGCCGGTCACGCCGTGCAGAGCGCCGAGGTGCCCGGGGCTCGGCGCTCCCTCCGTGCTCCCGCAAAAGGATGCGAGGGGTTGCAAAAGGATGCAAAAGGTGGCAAAAGGATGCAAAACCACGACGAAACCCCCTCGCGCACAGGAGGGGAAGTACCGAGGGGGCGAAAGGCAGCGGCGGTGCTGGCAGCGGGGGGAGGCGAACGGCGACGGGCTGCACACCGAGTGCACGGCGGCGAGGAGGAGGAAGGGGAAAAATAAAAAAAAATAATAAATAAATGACCCAACTCCAGCAGCCTCAAACACTTTTCAGGGCAAAAAGCACCGCCTCGGCCGGCGAGAAGCCTCAGGTATTTCCTACAAGCTTCTGCTGCTTCTGCTGGGTTCCGCCGGGGGAAGAAAGCCGCGGGCGCTGGGAAGTTTGCTGGGTGTTCCCCGTGCCCTCTGCACCCGCCTCAAAGCACCAGCAGCCGCTGGGACTTCCTTAGAAATAAGCGATGGGGCGCCGAGACCCTCCTCTTCCCGGCCGCTGAGGGTAGGGAGAAGCAGCACCGAGAGCCGGGGGGAGGCAGGGAGGGAAGGAGGGAGCCCCGGGCTGAGCCCCGCGGGGTATTTCATAGCTGAACCATGGCTCGAAATCCGGCTGAGAGTCACGTCGTGACTGCCGCCTTTCCACTTGGCTGCCGGCTCGGCCATTGAGGTAATAATCATCCCCCTAAATAATGTCACCCGTGTGCGGACGGGCCGAGGGGGGGGCAAGGTGGGGGAAGACATCATTTGCTATTTGTAACAGGTATTCCGGCCCCGCTGCCAGCCGCCCGAGGTGCCACCCGGGTGGCCACGCCGTGGGGACGAGGAGCGGGGCCGGGGGCTGCCGCCAGCCCGGGGCTCTTCTGCCTCCTCCGCTCCCCTTTTTCGTTTGCAGGGAAATTCCGCCTTCCGGCTTTGGAAGGACTAAAGGGCAGGAAGAAAAATAAAAACCAAACAAACAAACAAAAAAACCCCACACCCCACGAGCAAACGAGTGGTAGCGCCGTGCATCAGGTGCAGCCCGAGGAGAAGGAGCGCGCACCCCGATGCGACGAGGCCACAGCGCAGAGGGGCTGCAGATGCCACCAAAGGTCCCCTCGACCCCCTCAAGGCACCCGCCTGTTCCTCGGGGGCTGGAGCATCCCCGGCGGTACCACCGCAGCCTCGGCTCCCGTCGGGGCCTCGGCTCCCGCCCCGGCCTCCCGGCGCTGCCTCCGTTTCCCGAGGGAAAGTCCCGCAAGCGGGGGCGCGCTGCGGGATGCCGGGGACACCTCGGGCAGCGCTTTCCCCGCCGGTCCCTGCACGGGCTCCCCGCAAAGCTGGAGAATCACTGTCCCCTCCCTCCAGTCGCGCTCGGATGGAGCCCGTCCAGGCAAAGGGGAAAAAAAAAATAAATTAAAAAATATCCCTAAAAAAGCCATCGCAGGGTTCATGTCGCGCTCCCGCTCCCGGGGCGCCCCGCCGGGGTACGTACCGCGCCGAGCCCCGCACCGAGGTGGGATGCGGCTCTGCTCCGCTCACCATCGCAGGCTGCCGGAGCTTCTCCCCCACCCCGTCCCCTCCCCTTCTCCTTTTCCCTTTTTCCTTTTGGTGAGGCCCCAGACGGCCATCCTCCCGCCGACACCCCTCCCACCCTGCAGCCCGCACGTACCTGGGGATAGGGGCTGTAGGCTGCCGCGAAGTACGCCTGGGGCGGCCCGTACACTTGGTACATAACATCCAGGCAGCTCATGGCTGGCCGCCGCCGAAATTTCGTTTTTTGCTCTGCAAAGCGGAGCTGTGCTCGGCGGGACGGAGGGAGGATCCGGGGGGTTAAGAGGCACCGCTCCTCGGTGGGAGGAGTGAGGGGGGATGAGCTGCCCCCCCCGCCCTGCCTCCCCCCGCCGCACGGTTCCCTCCCGGCTCCCAAAACCGCCCGCAACCGCGCCGGGGGGCTTCGGCCCCGGGGCAGGGGCGGGGGTGGCCGGGCAGGACCCCCGGCAGCATTTTTGCTATCGCTCCGGGGGGGTTTCTCCGTGCTCCCTCCCCGCCCATGCAGCCGCCAAACTGGGGCAAATGGGGAGCGGGAGGGGTTCCTGGTACTGCCCGGCTAGGGGCGAACGTGGGTGAAGCCCCCCCAAGCCCCCAGGGGAGCAGAGTGAGCCCCAAAACGCTGCCGCGGAGTTGTGGGAATTCCCAGGTCTGGCCAGTCAAGGTGGGAAAAAAGTTGCCTGTGGAGGAGGAACCTCCCCAGAAACGTCGCGGGAGCGAGGATGCTTTTTGAACGGAAACCAAAACGACGCCGCGGTTCGCGTGGAAAGAGCAAATCCTGGTGCAGGTAAGCGGGGTTTGCTCCCCAGCTGCCCGCTGGGTGCCCCCCAGGCGCACGCAGGTGGCCGTACCCTCACCCGCGATGCCCAGGAGGAAAAGCGGCTCCCAAGGCAGCGCTGTGAGTCCTCAGCTCAGCAGCAGCCCTTTCAGACTGCCGGCTTCTTCGTACCTTCTAAATTATTTTTAACCTCTTGTAATAAAGCTAAAAATAAAGGAAAAGTGAAAGAATATCACTTACTTTTCAAATGCCGATTATTAACAAAAATCATGGGGACAAAAAAAGCTGAAAAGAATGAATGCTTTGGATTTTGAAGACCTGGAATTCTTTAACTGAACTTTAGTAGGAAATCCTCATAATTAAAAAGGTTAGCATTTGCCTCTGTTTTGTTTGTCAGAAAAAAACTAATCTTATGTTTCAAATTTCAGGAATTGTTCTGAATGCCCATCCTTTGCCAAAAATCATATTTCAGTGCCTAACGAGCATATTTTTTTCTTAACCGGGGGCAAGGTTTTCAATTCATATTTAAAACATTTGTTTCTCGCTCTTCTAGTTTGGTAAATTTGTTTTCTGTATGGAACTGTGACCTGGAACTTCGTGGCTGCGTGGTTTAGCCCCGGCACCGCTCCGTCCTCTGTCACACCAAATTTTGTGCCAGTGTCTGAGATGAGAATGAGGGGAGGAACTGTCGGTATCCAGCCTTAACAAGGAAACGTGTCTCACACTCTATCGTTTTGTTTCTCCTGAGCAGAAAGCAAACAGGCACCGTGGAGAGAAGGGCTCACTCTGTGGTGAGCATCCAAAGCACTTCTGCCAGCAAGGGAGCGCCCCTCAGTCCTTGTGGCTGGGGGCTGCGGGACCTCACCAGGGCCATGGGATCTCGCTTCTGCTGCCACTAGTGTGCCCTTGCTCCAGGGGTCGGGGGCCTGGCAGTTCTCCCATCACCAGGAGATCTGTGCCTGTTCTGAAGGCAGCAGCACGCTGGGTGGCAGTCCAAAAAGGATGCCCATTTCTCAGGAGGTGAGTATGCCTTGGACATGCAATCCCCAAACACCACATATTCCCCTGCTGTTTGCACAAGCACTTCTTCAATGGCTTTGTGCAACACCACGAGTTGACACCTGGCATGTGTCGTGGTGAAGCATGTGCTCTGTATGAAGGAAAAATCCAAAGTGCAGTAGCAATACGAGACTGGGTGCTGTGATGTGGCAGAGAGCCTAGGTTGTGTCCCCTGGAGAACCTCTCCAGGGCTGAATTTAGTGGTTTTACCTCACATGCGGGTACGTGTTACAGGAATTAGGTCTGATGTGGCTTGGTGTGAATGCATTTTCTTTTACAGCTATTTGACAGTGAAACTGTCTAATGTAAGACATGACCAAACTGTAGTGCCTTAAGGCAGAGCAATGCAAGCATTCATAGCAAACTGCTGGCATTGTTTTGCCTTTTCAGTACGCTCTCTGAAATTGGTCCCAATATAAGAAACGATCCTGGAAACCATGGGTCAGAATTATATTCACTAATGATCTCACTACATATGTACAATTATATATAAATATCTTTTCTTGGTCCCAACCAAAGAACCTTAGGTGTGTTGCATCACATAAGAAATAACAAAGCCTTGGAAAAAAAAAGGGCAGCTGAGATATCTGACAGAGAAAATTATGACAGCAATGAAGGGAAGAACACATTTAGGAAGGACATGCATTACAGTTGGCTTTGTACACTTAAACATTGGCAAGGGCCTCATCCTACATTCATATACCCATAGTGTTTCACAACAGCACCATGAGGAGAGTTACAATGTGCCTTGGAAAGCATTCCTATAACGTGATTCAAAGTTACCTTCTCATTATTCTGTAACCTTACACAAAATAAGAACTGTGTGTTACAATGAAGGTCTGGACAAGCAAACAACCCATCCAACAAGGTGTTAACACTCAGAGACACTAGGACAAAACAGCAATGGAAACGTGGTAGGACCAACTCCCTGTGCTGCTCACCTGCTCTGGACGTCCTCCATGCAACCCCAGTGTGTCCACCCTCTGCATGCAGGTTTGGTCAGCCAACCTCACGTCTGATCCAAGGCTGAAACATTTATTAGCCAGAAAGCACCATTCTGGTTTTGAATCTGGCCACACGGATACTTCATGCTGTTGATGCCATCCTCTCTCAGAAGTTCAGGGAAAATTCTGCCGACTCCAGAAAGGCACGCTGTCCTTACTGGGAGATATCTCAAGCTGGCTGGAGAATGCAGCCCTTGCTTTAGCAGTTTGTCGCTGTGCTTAACAGCCTTCAGTGTTTCCCACTTCCAGTTTGAGCGGATCTGGCTTCAGCTTCCAGCTGTTGCTTCATGTAATGCCTTACTGCACTTAGCTAAAGAGTCCTTTCATACATAATATTTTATGAAACTTATTTTATTCCACACTATATGTATATTTTTTTCCCTGCCAAAAGAGACAGATGCAGCTCCTTACTTTTCAGTGGCAATTTCTCTAGTCCTTAGAGAGTTTTTGTACCTTTTTTTTTTTTTTTTGCTTTAACCCTGTACTTTTTTTTTTTTTTTTTTTTTTTTTTTTTTTTTTTTTTTTTTTTAACGTTTTAAAAATATTCACACAAGAACTTGTTACTGTTTTAATATCTCTCTTGCAGGAGGTATACACAAAATATCTTCTTAGCAAATTCTGTTTATGTTTGAAGATTACCTTTTTTATCCCCACATAACAGAGGTTTAAAGACAAGGAACTCACACTGATCCACTTTCCCACTGTGGGCACTACACATTTTCAGAATCATTATTATGAGTTTGTAAAAACAATGGGATGTTTTGTGGTGTTAAACAGATGGCACAAGGGTATTTCTGATGTTTCTTCTGAGCTCTTACGTAGCTGACTGAGATTACAAGTAACCAACTCAAAGCTTTGGTGATGCCATGTGATCAGATGACACCTGCTCATGATACCTCTGGAGTCATTCTTTCCAGGACCCTTTCCACAGCCTGCCTACTGTGTTCCTAGATGTGCAACACCGTTAGCGGCTCCATTCATTTGTTGTTTGCTTGAAAGTGCCAGTAGGCTTATCAGCAGACTCAGGTCTTTCCCATTTCTCATTCCATTTGCTGGCATTTTTGCCACTATGTCGCCTCCAAAATTTATTGGTGAGACTTTATACCAAATATCAGGTTATCAATGAACATCCTGAATACATGTAGTTCACAATCTAATATGAACACTCTTATATAATAAAGATTTTTCTGTTGACTCCAGTTTTATGCATTTTTTGTCCATTTGCCATGTGCATCGTTTTTTGTGTAGCATTTCCTTTACGAGAATGTAACTCCGGTTTCAGTAGGCTTCTTATTTCTGTGCTCTTACTTTATTCTCAAATGTCATGAAATGAAAGATTCAGCACATTCAGTAGAGTTAAAGTATCCAACTTTGGATGTTCTACTTGTGGAATTGCAATGGTGAAATTTGGCTAAAATGAATTAAGATCGATAACCTTGTTCTTCTTCCTGGTCTTTGTAGTCTCAGTGCTCAGTCTCCCTAAAAGCTTTTTGTTTCTTTTTAGGACTTGGCAACTGTTACCATGGTTTTGTCAGGGATGTTTTTGAGGTGCAGTCTCTGGGTCTGCACGGATGAAGAAGACTTGAGGCTCAGGAGCTGCTAGTTTGGTAGCATTTATGGGTACTGAATTTATGAAACTTAAAGACAAAAATCAGCATGGTAAAACAGAATGAGGGCACATATCACTGACTTATTTGTCTCATTCACTGCCCTGTGGAACCCAGTTTTGTTTTATATTTAATTTTCAATCTCAAAGACATTTCTATAGTTAATTTTGATCTTCCTTTGAGGGACTTTTTTTAAATTATATTTTTTCCCCTTTATTTTTCCTTTCCTATGGCTCTATGAATTAACTGCTAGCTGCAAATTAACAACATGCACAGCTACTATTTGGTGCCGTATGTGACACTGTGCCTGCTCTGTGACGGGCCCTGTAGCAGCTGGACCATGTGCGGTGATTTTTCCTCAATGATGTATTTAGAGGGGAGCTGCAGCCCGGGTGCGGGTGCAGCATCTGGTGCATGTCACTCACTGCTCCTGCCCAATCCTCGCCGTGCGTGCCGGCTCACAGGCCGGGGCATCACCTGTCTCTCCTCTACTGATTGCGGCAGATGAAGAGATCATTATGCAGGGCTGGAAGGGGAACCTAGAGCTGTCATGAGGGGATAGATTAACGTGTGTGGGAACACACAGAACCCATTGAACGTAGAGCTGGCTTTTGTAGTATTAAAGCTCATGGAAGTTTTTTTTTTCATGATCAATAGGGGAATAGGCTTGGTTTGGTCCTCAGAGGCAGAGCTAGCAGCTTTTGTGATGCTTGTGTCACAGGGCATTAGGCTCTGAGCTGAATCTCTGTGCAGGCACTGAATCACCGGAGCCACCAAGCCACCACATCAGGTTTGTTCCAAGATGTCTTCCCCAAGACACTCTACATATTATTTTGTATTTATATAGAAAATATAGAGTACATATTTCCTCAGCTGTGCTCAGGACAAAGAGGCAATATCAGGCAAAATATTCCTTAAAAGGATCTCCATGCACAACACAATTTTTTTCTACTTTGTTTTGCATGTTTTTGTCAGCATGAGGTAAAAGTAGAAGCAGATTGTTTCTGAGCTGCATAGAAGTTACCTAAGCACCAGCCTTATTAATATAATGCAAGCAGTCAGCTCTTGAAGTAAATGTGACATGTAGCTCCTCTGCAATACCCAGGCTCAGTGAGTTTGATGGCACACAGTTATACATTTGTGTGCTTTGTTTTGAAACAAAAAACCAAAACACAAGTCTTATAATGTGAAAATCTCACTTCCTATAAAAGTTTTCATTTTAGAAGTGTTCTTCCTTCCAGTATTGTAGATAATATTTCAGACAGGGAGGTAGGTGGCAGAGAAAGACCGCAGCTTGAGAGAGGAAGTGGCTCAGTGCAAGAAAATGACAAGATTATCAGATTTTTAGTAGAGTACAAAATGGTAAAGTATATGCTTTTTTTGCCTATCCTGACTTTTGTATAACAGTGACAGCACATATCTAGGATGGGAAAAAGAAAGACTCATATTTTCTTCCACTCTCAAGTCTCACAGGAGTGGAAACTTCTACTGCTCAGAGTGGGCAATATTATATTATACTGGAGGTGCTCACTGGTTCACTTCAGCTCTCTTCAGTGTGTATTTGGCTAAGCCTTGAGAAAATGCTACTAGAAAATGTTAACAATAAATTTTAAATAAATTAAAGGCAAAAATAAGTAAAAGGAAAATTCACAACAAAATACTGGAGGTGGAGCCATGGTACAGGGAATTGTGTTCTGATCTCCTGAAGTTGTCCCAGACAATGTAGCTCCTGGCTTGAGTGCAGATAGGTGTGATTTCAGAGGCTAGAAAATATCCTGACTTTCTGAAACTGAGCAGAGCCCACACTTGAAAAAGTTGATGGTCATAATAGAGAACTTAGTCCCTAATGTTTGCAAAAGCCCATCTAATCATTAGAGGTAAAGTTGGGAAAACAAACAAGAAAGGAAGAGGAATATGTTAAGAAAGGAAGAGAGGAAGGTGTTGCCACTGCCAATATGCACCCAATCCATGTGTGGGAGGATGGGACAAAATAAAATGTCCTTTGATTTTCTTAATAACATCTATCTATTGTAGCCCAACCTGCTGGAAACTAGTGCATATATAATGATATTGTAGCCCAGCTGGAAAGTCAGCTATACTTTCATATTTGTATTGATGTAGATTTAGCTCACTTAATACAGAAGGATAAGAAAATAGTATGCAGATTAATTATTTGTAATTAATAAAGTTGTCTCAGGCTTTATTGAGGACACGTAACTCATCCCCCGTGTCCCTGCTTGTACACAAAAATGCTAGAATAGGGAAAAAATTATGAAAATCCATGCCATAAACACACCATCAAAAGGAAATCATAATGTGCATACTGGGGTTCATGTGCTGGGATCTTCAGACACGATGGCTGTACATTTTCAGGATAGATTTATTCTCATGCTGAGGTAGACACTTCCCTGAACTGCAAAGTGTTTTACATGTACGTATAAATCAGCCAGTGGTCTGGTAGATGGGGTATGAACCATCAATTTAGAGAAACTAAACCATTTCATACTCCTCCCATGACTTCCTTCTGAAGTCATCCAAGGATGACTTGCATGCATTAAAGTACTTCTGGTCTATGGAGTGAAATTTATGGAGAGAGCATCCTAACAAATTAAGTTTTTGAAATGCAGATCCAGTTTATGGATCAAGCTGATTTGTGATTTTTAGACTAGATAATAGAGAATGCAAGCTCTGCTGGAGTTCTGTAAGGCTGGTAAGAGCTGTGCACACAGGGTAACAGATACTTGGAGCTGCTGTTTCACAAGAAGTGGATAGGCTGAGCTTTGCTTAGGCTCAGACCTTGCCATTACTTTTTGAATAGTGGTTTGCAGAAATTGATTTTAACTCACAGAGTACACTGACCAGGCGGGAGAATGGTGTATTGTAGAAGATAGCATGAATGCTAAAGAGCTGGCCAAACCCAGAGTGGAATGGAAAGGGCACAAAGCTATTTATGTGTCCCTGGCTGTTGAAATAATACAACTGCCACACTAGATAAACTGGCTTACCCTCCATTAAGGCACTGCTTTTTGTTATACTGCCTATTGCTGATCATGGGGAACAATTTTACAATTATCAGTCTGTGTGGCCCTTGTCCTCATGTGCCCCTCTATTCCTGACCTGGCATTTCTGTGGGAGCTGCTCTGTGGTGCAGGGATGCCCTCAAGTGCCTCCCCAGGGCAGCTGGTAGCAGAAGAAGCAGGGGCTGAGGGGGATTTCCAGGGAAATCAGAAACGGGCAGGAAAAAGTTGGTGAGGAAATTCTGCCATCAGCTCCACGCTTGAGAGGAAGAGCAGGAGCTCCGGGAATCTCCAGCTCCTTCCTCTCCCACACACCCTGTTCTATGTCCCAGCCTCCTGCACAGCCGAGGACAGAAGCATGTCTTTCAGTATGCCGTGTCTTTCCAGCATGTGCGTGCCAAGCCATACTTCAGTCTCTCGCCTTCCAGCACCATGCAAACTCCACAGTCCTTGCATTCCCGCAGCGCGGGACACCCCGCTCCTGCCCCTACCAGTACAGAGCAGAGCTTGCTGTCATGCCCCAGGGGAAACCCAGCACAGATTAACGGGTGCTGTGCTCTTTTCCAGGTGAGCATCCCCTCATGCTCTTCACTGGAGTTTCAGAAGTTGTCTGCACATCCTTTTTCATGTGACATTTGTGCACTGCCCAAATTGTCAGAATTTGTCAGAAGGCAGCCACCCCATAAAAATAGGGTAGTGTTCATCCATTCAGCTTTCTGCAGTTTCCCCTATCCAGGGACTTTTCCTGAAGCTCTCTGAAAAACTCACGTTCCTCCTAGTAGCATCCCAAAAGTGACTGCTCCACAACACCGCTCTGTGTGCTTCTGTTATTTGAGAAAAGCAAGATGACTCCTGCTCTATGAATCGTATCAGTGTTAATCTCCTAAATCAGTGATGCTGCCTCACAGCTTTTACATAGATGAGAGAAACCTGGCACAAGGGTAAAATGAACTTTCCAAAGGGTATTCAGGGCATCCTGAGACTGCATGTTTTCATCCAAGTAGTTGTAAGTGCTTTGGTCAGAACTGTGCTTTCTTCTGTATCTGGGCAAGCTCATGGTGCAATATTGACTCTACACACAAGAAACACTAAGGACAAAAGTATTCTATAATTCTCATTAACTTAGTAGAAACGCAGCTATTTCTAAGCCAACATTTTTTTTTTCTTCAAATATGTTTCTCTGAATTCTCCAGCTTTTTTCTTTCTACTCATTATTTATCCTAAAACCCAAATCATTTCCAAATTTATTTGTCCATACAAAGAATCAATCCTTTTGCTTTACAGAAAGAATTACATATATTTAAAATATATATGAAAATATGCACAAAAAATATGCAGTGACTTTCACACTGAAGAGCTGGAAGTTGTAGTTTACATGTCTGCTAGACTGATCCTACTGAGATTATTTATCTATTTATGTATTTTTCTACCTTCCTACATACCTACCTTCCTACAGATCTACCTATCTGCCTACCTAATAGCTTATTATACAAATTTCTGTGACCAAGTACCTAGGTAGAGGCAATTTGAAAGGGATTTAATGGAAAGGGAAATCTCACCTCCTAATACCTAGAAGCCAGGCCTTCAGATCTAAAAGGCATGAGAGGGGAATTGATTTCCACTGATGGTGGAAAAAGCACTTTGGCTTTCCAGGGTGTATATATTTAGTGAATATCATATATATTATTTGTATATATGAAATACAATATGAACTACAGCTGATCACCATTCAGTTCTGTATTTAGTGTTGCATTTGATAGTTTTTATAGAGCTTTTCATGATGTTGCTGTCTCATGCTTGCCATGCTGTCATGGGTGGAGCTTTCCCCTTATGCCTTTCTCCTCCACCAGAGTCATCCTGCCCACCCATCTTGTTGTAGTCAGCTGAAGTCACAGCCCCTGGAGTTCCTGTTATGGTTCCATCAATTTCCATGGAGAGATCTTGCTGTGCATGTGCCTTCAGTAGGCAATCCTCACTTCTGCAGGCCTGGTTTGGGTTGGGATGTTTTTCTAGAAACCTGCATCCTCATATCAGTACTGCCAGTGTAAGCAGCATTCCCAGTGGGGATGGCCAGCTGGCTGTTACAACCTCCCTTGACACCTTGTTCTGTAAACCTCAGGGCAGGTCTTGTTGATGTGTGAAAAATGCTCCTGACAGCCTGCTCCCACCTGCACTGGGGTTTCCAGCACCACAGGCTTGCTGACCCAGAGGGAACAACAGTTGGAAAAACAAAAAAATGGTTTGCTATAGGTGGCACCTCTAGCAAAGGGAAAAGAAAAGGTGTGAAGGAAGACAAGAAGTTTTCAGAAGCACACTAAATGAGCATTCATGCTATGAACCAACAGCAAGTGCAGTAAGACTAAGCCTGCAGAAACACTTGTTATATACACAGATCTTTCTCAAAACTGTTTTCTTGGTTAATTTACATGCATTGGCTGCTTTCCACTGAGCTTACAAATAATACATGCACATTTGGCTTTACTGGTTAAATGGCGTTTGCAACTACTCAGAAAGATGCACCACTGCTACACCAGCCACTTGGGATGTGCTCTCAGATAAATGTATTTTGGCATAATGTGACAAATGGACAATGAGTAGAATCATTTATTATGAATAAGAAAGTAAAAGTAGTTAAAAAGTCTGTGTGCATATACCTGTACAAATATACATGAACATATACACACATATATTTTAAATATATATTATATATATTTATATAAAGTATGTATACACACATTTTTTTGCATTTTCTGGTAATCATAACGAAAGTCTGGAGATGAAAATTGTCAACAACCAATGAATTGTTCATTAAAAACTACCAAAACCTGGGAGAATTACACTTTAAAAAAAATAAAGGGTAAAACCTGTTTGGTTGAAGAGCAAGCTCAACATAAGGCACATGGCCAGTCAAGTAACTGATGTTTCTCTGAAACCAGAAGATGCCAGAAACATTTATTTCCTGGAGATCATGGAAATAAGCTGTTCCCAGAGCCCATCTATAGGCAACTGCTTTCTCCCCTCTGCAGGAGCTCTCAGGCTGCAGCTGCTCCTTCACCACGTACCACAGGTTTATAAATGGTGACTGGAGATGTTGGACAAGCCTACGGAAATAAGAAAGAGAACAGTGTTCATGTAGTCATGTTTGATGTAAGAGTAACAATTGTCCATACTTTGGAGGAAAGCTGGTCTCTGTTTTCTACAAATCAAACATCCACATCACAAAAAATGCACTCTCAAGCCCACTGTGAATTGTCAGTGTTATTTCAAAATTCAAGGACACCAGGGCTGGGAATATTAATAGCTTCATTAATATTCTGGACTCTAAAATGTTCTTAAACTACCTTGATAAAATTTTGTTTGGTTTCCCCTAGTTTTTGTTTACTTCTAGAGCAGGTTGAAATGTTCCAATTTTTCCCTGGGACCAATTTATGAACAAATAGGAAAATACTGAGCAAACAGGGAAATATTTGTGAAAAAATAAATTCCTTTTCATTTAACCTCTGGAAAACACTTTCACTGGCAAAACAATCACCTGGGCTACATTATATGTTTTAGTGAGTGAAGCTCTCAGAAAGAAGTTCACATTGCATATGGCGTGTCTTGTAAACATCACATTTAATCTAAAAGTGAATTAAGGCAGGCTTGGGGAATGGTTAGGAAAATGGAATTCATTATTAAAGGGATAATTTTGAATAAATGAAGTAGAAGCTCATCAGATTATGTGTAATTCTAAGCCACTTCCTCATTCCACACTCTGTTGGATCTACCCTATTACCTCTCTTTGCATGAACAGACCCCCCATTGCAAAATAGGGCAGCTGGGCAGTAGGGCATTGCATAGGATGCCCCACAGAGAACCAATTGCTAAGCTTGCTGGAGAGAGTATGTTTGCATTATAACTTCTCATGATTTTTGGTTGCACTCCTGATTTGATTTCAAATACTTCTTGTGGTGGGAAAATCATCACCTCCAAAGAATAACTACGCATTTGCAAATCTTCCAGGCACAAAGAAGTCTTTGGTTGGGTAATATGTGTTCCAACAAACTATCAGAGCATCTCCAAGTACTTGTGTGTCAGCTAATCCCATTAGATTTGGCTGTGCAATGGAGACAGACCTACCGACGATGGACAGGGTGTACACTATGTGGACCTTAATCAGGCCTTGGTACATGCTTTGGAGAACCTGAGGACAAGAGGATTTCTGGTTTATTACTAGCTGTATCAAATGAAAGGTGTAAAATAATTGTTATCCAAAAACTTCGCATGATGGCCAAGTTTGGAACGTGTTGAGAACCAAACACTTTTGACTCCATGCTCTGGTTTTGCCACTGGGAGTGTTAATTTAATTTTAGATACCATCCAGAGTTTATAAACTCCTGGTTCTGTCAGTCTGAATCCACACATCAAGCAGAAAACAGTCTGGTGGCACTGGATTTACCCTGAGTGAGAAGAATCTCATCCACTGACTCCCAAAAGACTAAGAGAAACTTTAAAGAGAAATGCTTAAAGCAAGATATAAAAATAGGGATCTCTGTAAAATCTTCTTTTAAAGACGGTCTTGTATACATTGGTTTCATGTTATATAATGGCATGTCAGACATGCTCTGCCTCCATCCGATGGCTGAGCCCTTTTCACTCAACACAGTACAGAGCACACACAATCCTGAACTGGTAACAACTCCATGCTTCGCATGGACAACATATTTTGGAAGACATTGAGAGACTGGATTCAAAACAAATATAGAGAAAATAAGAAAGACGTAATGTGTAAAGGAGTATTTCACGCACGTCCAAATTATGCCTGGACGAAGTATTCTGTGAGAAAAATAGCACCGTGCAGGGAGAAGGGAAAGCGCAGTTGAGTGGGGTGGACAAAGAGCCAGCTCAGATGAGCCTGGCTGAACAGCGGTTACTGGGCTGTAAAAAATGGACATGGCAAATGTACTGCATTTACTTAAGGCCCCATGAACCTCCAGGGAAAAGAGAGCATTCACAGAGTGGCTCCACTGACAGCAAAAAAGTTTCATTATTATTAGTCATATGCTGAGGATGTCAAGGAATTTTAAGGCCGCACTCTTTGCATTTTTAGAGGTTATTAATGAAATAGCATAGCAAGGTGAATTACATTAAAATATTTTTCTAACCATTCCAGAAATCTGGGTCCAAGTTGGCATAGGGCTGGCAAGTGGTGAACTTTTGACCGAAGCTCAGATTGCCGGGAGACACATCCTCCTTGTTAGTTTCGGGTGACAGTTCACTGTACTAGAGACATCCACTTGTGTGTAAAGAGGCAAGTGGGGGAGGAAGATTTAGCGCTGCATTTTCACAGGGGCAAGAAATTCCATCCAGCTCAAATGTGTTTTGGCCCACTGCCCGGCTCCTTGTCAAACACATGACCATCACTCGGCTTCCTATTTCTGGCCCGAATCTGGATCCTGGGGATAAGCGAGCCCCATTAGTGGTTAAAATTAGGCAGCCGAGCTGTGACAACACATGCTGACTCTCCAACGGAGGGTAGACATATTTAAAAACCAAAAAAGAGCGAGACGCCCCAAGATTTAATGTCAGCTGCCGTGTGTAATTCATCAGTTTGGGCTCCTATAATGGATATAGCAGCTGATCTACCTTACTGGAGAAGACTTAGAAGTCTTTTCTGGCTTCTTCTGACCAGACTTCCTATAATGATTGTTAAAGACGAGAATATGCCATTATTTTTTTTCATGGTAGAAGTGCATCGCCTTCACTTCTTACCCTGCCCTGATTTAGTCATATGATGGACAAATTCTTCTGACCTGAGAATGAAGAACTTGGACACCTGGTTTCTACAAAGCTGTACTTTAACTGGGAAAGTTTATTTTAAATTGAAACATCAGCAGACCAGCTGGTTAGAAAGTAGACATTTTGGTTTGCTTGGTAATCAGAAGTTTTCATTTACCAAAATAAATGAGCCAAACTTATTGTGCATGTGTGGACTATTTTCTTGGATGCAGCACTAGGATGCAGCGCTATTACACTTGTATCCTCTTGTGTCACACTTACCTCCATCCACTTGGCTGGTGACTCTGGCCATGGCAGCCCATTTGGCAAGGTCCCACACAGCTCTCTAGGCTTTATGATATTTCCACAGCCTGAAATGCCCTTATTTCATGAAATTATCTGTCCTTGAAATCCTTTCCTAAGCCTTTTCTGTATGTTGAAGTGTATCTCAGAAATTGGCTAGGGAATATCAGCCTGGATGAGTTGGCTATTGTAGTGATTGGTGTTTCATTTAATTACAGGACTTTAAGAAGTGAACACACTTTTTCACATAGACTCTGCAGCCTTTCTCATCACCAACCTCTGTGTTACGAACTCATGATTCTGAATTAAGAAGTCTGATGGTGATGTGAAGATCAAACTGATCTGCTCTGTTACGCAATGAGCCCTTGCATTGCACAGCCACCTGCTCAAGTCAGTCTTCTCAACCTTATGAGAGTTTAAAGACTTTTGAAAATGAAGGTGAATTTATATATCCTTCAGTCTCTTCCATGAAAGATTTTAGATTTTGTAATTGTCTCAGCTGCGCTGTGGTCTCTGCCAGTTGTGCTGGTGAGGTGGAGAACCAGAACTGCTCCAAACACTCCTGGCTAGAAGTAGTTTGCTGGACCTAGTCTGGGCTGTATGGCATACCCCTCTGGGATAAACACCCTCTAACAAAGAAAATACAGTCAGAGAAAGCTTTCTGGGGTACTTGTGAGATGGGAATGGGGAATGCTCCCTCTGATTCTGATGGTGGCATAAAGAAACAACTAACTAGCCCACAAGATGCCTAAACATGTGTGTTAAAAACAAGGCTTGGGTTTTACACTGAGAAAAATGGGGTAGGTAACACAGGTTGGAATAGCACATTTGTTGTAGAAAACCACTAAGGAGACAGCCCGAGGTACATTATTCTAACAGAAATCTCAAAGAGGTCGTCAGTTATAGCACAAAGCAAGACACTTGTATTTAATAAGAAATACACTTACTAAGCAAAAGAGCAGTAAGAAATGTGCCTGATATGCTTTTGCAAATGTCTGCCATTATTAACAGTCTGGTATTTTAAATGCTTCCAGTCTAATGAAAGCTTTGAAGCCAAAGGAAATACAACTGATACTTGTGGGCTGATTACTCTTTGTGTAATGCAATTGTGTAAGCAATGCCACAGAGGCAGAGAAATTCCAGGTGCTGGCTCAGGTGTGACAAAGCGTGCTAGCTACACTTTGGATAGGAAGAGGCCAAGGCAGATCAAGTCAGACACCTTGGCACAATGTTCCTACCTTCCCTTTGGCTCAGGGTGCAGCGTGAAACAGGTGCCCTGGAGCTGGCCCTGAGCTGGCTCCAGGTCTGCATGTAGCACAGACTACTAACCAAGCCCACGCAGACCTAGATGGGGGGACCACAGACTGAAACTCAACCCTCAACCCCAAGACAGTAATTTAGGCTTTTTGATTATATGGGATGTCACAGCCTGCTGCACAATGGAGAATTGGTTGTGCCTGTTGGCGTCTGAGTTTTGCAGTCATGGGGCTTGCATGTAAGTGTGCATATGTGGATGTTTTAACATGCTGCCATTGCAGTTGGGTTAATAAATATGTGGCAGGCAAAAAATGGCACATGGTGTTGGTTACTGTTTGGACAGAAACTAGTTAAAGAATCACTAGTGGTTCAGGTCTGGTGCAACAAACTCCCCCCTTTCCTTTCTCTCTTGAGTGCTCTTTGCCCTCTACTAGCAGGGTCTCAACTGGTTTTTCTGTTGTGCTCAGCAGTCCACTGTGCTTGCCCCACAATATGCCAGTGAATTCCTCTTGCTCGCAGAGTGCCAGCAGCTGCCACTCAAGAGAGAAGATCAAGAAAATTCCAGGCAAGACAGAGATGACCTGTCCAACTGGCAAGGGGACTGTCACCAAGGGGAGCAGGGTGAGAGAAGCTGCTGGTTTTAGACCTGGTTAGTGATTATACATACATCCTCATTAGTGGGATGCTAACTCTTAAGATTTAAACCTTCTGCTTGACTATCTTTCAGTCAAGTTGTTTGAAATATTTTGACAGTAGAATATAGTTTCAAAATACTAAAATGTAATAGTAATATTTTTTTAAAAAAGATATAGGATATAAATTGTTCTTTGAGTACCATAAAACACACGTTAGCACTTCTTTTTTCTGCACTCAGAACATTTGACTTCCTCTGCAAGAAAATTGATATTTGCTCATCAAAATAAATTTAAATGTTGGCCTACAAAGCATCACCAAATTGCTTCTGATTGTTTGGAATAAGTTACTACAACAGGTGCTACAGATTCCTGTCTCATTGGAAGAAATAGCTTAGGATCTTGAACGGTTCATTAAACCATCACTTCAACAGTTTTCTCAAAACAGGACTCCCATCTTCAGTTCTTTGTACAAGAGCAAATTTTTTACTTAATCTCATCACTGTAGTCATTTTGTCCAAACAAGGAGAAAAAAAAATCAAGAACTGGTTTATACGTGCTCTTCTGTGAACATTGTGAAAGGACAAAATTTATTTGCTTAAGACTATGGAAGAGCAAGGACACAGAGAGGTCATGAACGTCTGGAAAAGGCCAGAAGAATTCCTCCCTCAAATACTCAAGCATTTGCATTACTTATTTGCATTGAACTGCTAAATCATTTCAAACACACTAGGTTTAACTGTATAAGGGGGTTTTCTGATTTTTTTTTTTTTTTTGAATCTATTCTCTTTGCTCTTAGGTCTCAGCTCCCCCGCTTACTATTGCCAGTTGACCTGAGCACCGTTGGCCCAGCTGGTATTTCCTGTGCCACCTCTGGGTTGCCTACTTCTTCCTTTTCACTGTGGACTTTCTATAACGTGTGTTTAATGGAGATGGGCTTTGCTGTCAGTTAATTAAACAGCATTCTTATTGTGGCTTTCTGACTAAGTTTAAAAATATATATTAGTGTAGATGGCTGAATTGCCATTAAGGAGATCTTCTGCAGACATGAAGAGCCTGTGGTCTGTGCCTAGGCACACACAGCTATGCATCTCAGTCTCCACAGTAGTAACAAATGTCATCTATATACAGAAGCTACTCACATATCTCTTTTGGCTGACATTATTGATGCTTGTTTTTCTGAATATGTGTATCAACTAATTGCTACTGCCAAAGTTTTAAGAGTCAGATCAAATAATAAAAGCTGTTGGTGGTTAAGCAACACTCTGAACTCCCTGAGCCCTTGGAAATGTGGAAGAATTATTTTCATTGGTTTGACATCTTCCCTTTCACTGTACATTAGAATTATTGTGTAGGCAATGTTCCAAAAGTGTGCTTATTCGCTACTTTCACTTCTGTACACGTGCCATTGACAGCACCCTTCTTTGGAAACAAAGCTTCCCTACACCCTGTGAGAAAGGGAGTGGCAGAAGGGAAAAATGAAGCATGAGGAACCTTGCAGACTGCTGTGAGTTATTATCACAGTTCCCTTCTTGTCTAAATTGTGTGCAGGCTGGAGCTCCCAGATCCATCCTTGACTTTGTCTACTTGGTCAAAAACTGTCCCCATGAGGTGGCCCATTCAGGTTAACTAGAGGAACTTTCTGTGGTCAGAGCTGTTGGTGAACTTTCCTTTGCTTTGTTTTTCCTGTAGCTTTCCAGTGTCACTTTTCTGGTTCTTGAACTCTTCCAAAACCAATTTCAGAGATAGGTAGCTACACAGTGTTTCCAAACTGATGAAGAAAATGTGTTCAGCAGGCTTCCTCTTCAAAATATTTACTTTGGAAAACAAGAAACAGCCTGTGGCATAAGAGGTGTGGGATATCCACAAACTTAGCAGGGTAATGCAGACTTCTTGAAGGAATATTAGAGCAGTGCATCTTTAATACTAGAGAGCAGGTAAGGTTAATGTTGGAGGTAATCAGGTTGAGCTTTCTTTTAGGGGCCACTATTTTTCTTCATCTCTTTTCCTTACATGTGCCTGTAAACCCATATACACCATACTTTACATAAGATTTGCTTTTTGATTCAATTTCCTTTATTACAAAAGCAATACAGGTAAAATTCCTGACTGCATTAGTTTCCTATTGTACAATTTCAATAACAGTCTACATGTTTTTCCTTGTTTGTCACTTGTAAGAACTAAATGTGCCTCGCAAAGCCATTGTAACCATCACATCATGCAAAACCACATCTCTTGTCCTCATTGTCCAGGTGATATGGTCATCTTGTTCAATCTCATTTAAATGCTTTTCTAGAGCAACTGTAAGTGCCTACCCATTTTGCTGACACAGGCATAATTAATTAGCACTCACCTGACCCAGTTTAGGACACATTATCATTCACTTGACCTTTAGCAACTTGTTATCCAACACCTTGGTTGTGTCCTCCTAGGCATCCTGTCCATTCTAAGCATCCTGTATAACTAAGACCATGAGCATGTCACGTTTATATGGTCCAGACTTCTAACATTTTCTTCACCAGTCCTATGCATCAGCCCCATTCTTGTCCCTTCGTCTCTACTACTTGCTTACCCTGAAGATGACTTCTGAGTCACTGCACATGACCTTATTTCCAGGCCTTGGCTGCAACACAGTCTGTCTGACGAGAATTTTGGGAGGCAGTATTTTGCGTAACCCTTGTCTTTCTGTTTTCCCCAGACTACAAAGAGTACAAGGCAGTTTTACATCAGGCAGGCAGTGAAATGGGTCCACTGTCACTGTGGTATGACTGCCCATGTTTCTAAATCACTTCTAACTCACAGGACTTCTGAATTCAGGGGAGGCAGATGGTTGGCTTCTGCTTATAAATACAGATTTTTTTGTTAGAGGAAAAAAGGGGAGAACGGGATCTCTCCTAATAAGCTACAACTAGCAGTAGCTCATCAGTACTGCTCGTAAATTTTGGAGTAGTAAAGATGGAGAGTCTTTACCCACTTGTTAAACTCCATCTCCTTTTCTCTTGCCACAACACTAGCAGCACTTGGGTTGCTGTCCCAGAAGGCTGGGTGGAGCAGGAAAATAGGAGAAAAAGGGAGACATGACTGATGAGGAGAGACAATGAGTTTTTCCACAGCTATTTCAGGAGCTTTTTTTGGTTCATTGTGTCTACACCTCCAGGAGGAACTCTCTGGCCTGCAGAGGGAGCCCATCTTGTCTTTCTATGCAAACGTGCAAAGTTGGCTCCATCTCCCCATTCCCAGTGAGTTTACCCATTTCTAAAACAGTCTTGCTTATCCTCTGGACATTGCCAGTGAGGAGTTACCACAGACATTCCATCTTGAGATATAACCTCATCATCAAATTTGAGGTTCTTTCTGTGAAAATATCCTTTCCTTGCCTATCAGTTAAGTGAAATAATTAAATTCACAAGTACTGTGGATTCATCTTTTACAGTGCATTTTCAATGGGCCTCATGTAGGCTCTTCAAAGGACCAAGGCTCACTGCCAAGGAAAGGAATTGCAGTCCAAGTTTGCGCACATAACTCCAGGCTTACTCTAACAACACCTTTGTTTTTCAAACATATGCTCTAAGCTGGCAGATGTTATTTAGCTACCCTCCATTAAGCACCTGACTCAGGCTTGCAGCCTGGAAAAAGTAACCTCATGTTAGGCTTTGTGGATTGCCTAAGAACCTGATATACCTAAACTCCCTCTGCAACCATCCTAGTGAGATCTCGTGGCAGTGATATATACTTAGAACCGTTTAAGTAGGGAACACAGAACAAGAGCTGAACATTGCCAAGGTGGCCGTGATCTTGGGTGTGACAGTGAAGCTAAGGAATGGCACAGGACCTGTCCTCATGTGGAGATTGTGGGGGATTCTTCCTTCCCATTCATCATGACTTTACTTTCCTGTGGGGATTATAGCATTTGCTGAGAACGAAATGTAATAGTAGGAAATTATCTTGTGCATTTTGATATGTCTAAGTGATATCGAGCAGGTGGATACATGAACAAAAGCTTCCATCTACAAAAACAGAAGTCCTGTACTTGTCTTCTATGGATAAGCCTTTATTATTTATGTTCTGCAAGGACAACAAGTCGAAATGTCACATCTAGGCAAGGACTGAGAAAGCCATGTCATCCAACTGGGCAAAGGATAGATTATATGACCAGTTAAAGAGGTGGAGTGGGGGTAATGTTGTAGGGAAAGTTTCAAGACAGAGGAGAAGAGAGAGGAATAGAGATAATGAGGCAAAAATATCAGGAAAGGAAGGTGGATAGTTCTGACTCATCTTGGAAAATTAAAAGAAAATGACCCTGAGGGAATTTAGGGAGTGTTGAAGCTGCCTGCAGAAATAATATGAGACATGAAATTACATCTATGAATTAATTCAGCATTCCTACACCAGATACTGCAGCATAGTACCTCACATACACAGCATGACCAGTACTAAGTGTGAATATTAGCCTACATTTGTGTTTTTGCCACCTTCTCAGCTCTTTCTTTGCTTTCAGCCCCTGAAGAAGTTTATGATGGGGTGATGAATACACAAGCAGATCAGACTTCAGCCTGGAAGTGAATAGCTCTGGGTATTTGTTTTGGTTGCAACAGATTCAATAGTGGTGTCTACTGTAGGCTTTGCAACTAACTGAGCAGTGTGCTGATTGTTCATGGCATGGAGCACTGATATATTACTGAAGGCAAGATAAGATCAGGCCACCATGTTGTTAAGCAGACAATGTCTTACATCTTTCCCTGTTTAGTCTAGTAAGTGACATTGTCACTGCACACCATCATGCATTGTAAATCCCAAAGATAAAATCCACTCCCATTCTAATCTGTCTGAATATGAAGCAGAAGTGAGTTGGAAATGGTGCAACCAAGCTAGAACTTGTTACTGCTCAGAGAAGTAGGAGGAATACAGACTGATTCAAATGAATCCAGGAAATTTATCAGACTGCTTTATGACACGAAGAGTGACTTACCCTAGACATTCCTGAAATCCTACTGCTACATACTGCTGTTTACACAAACCCAGAGATTATTCCTGTTGCAGGTTGTCACCAAGTGATCTTCTCCTGGGAGGTTCAGACTAAATATTAGGAAAAAATACTTTACCATAATGGTGGTAAAATACTGGAACAGGCTCCCTAGAGAAGTGGTAGATGCCCCATGCCTGTCAGTGTTCAAGAGATGTTTCACTAATGCAGTAAAATGCTTAAATTATAGTTAGCCCTTAAGTGGTCAGGCAGTTGGACTAGATAATTTTTGTATGTCCCTTCCAACTGAACTCGTCCTGTCCCATCCTCTCCTGTCCTCTCCTCTCCACTCCTTTCCTCTCATTTCGTCTTTTGATATGTGGACTATGCCAGCACAAAGATAGGTGCTGGCAATCTCAATGCTGCAACACAGAAATGCTCTGGTGTTTCAGGTCTATTTTCCAGACAGATCATGTATATTCTTTTAATACTTCATAGCCAGTTATAGTTGGAACTCATCACTACAGAATGAACATTTTTTTCCCCCAAATTAGAGCTTCATCTGATCTTAAAACTTCAATACTGTAGCTTTGCATTGAAGGAAGCTTGTTTAATCAGCTTAATTAGGAGGAAAAAAAAAAGAAAAAGAAAAAAATATTCTGTTAGAGTACCTGGAATAACAGGATTCTGCATAAGAAATGATATCATTGGCTTGATGACACACGGCTGTGGCGGCAAAAATAACCCTCTTTACAGCAATAGAAAATGCTCTTTCCACTCCAAAAGCTGGAGTGTCAGCTGTCTTCCTGCAAGCAATCTGCAGCTATGTTTCCAATACTCAGTAGTGTTGGTGTTTGTTGCAAAGCCATCATGTGAAAAGCTGACATCAAGCAGGGGCTAGACCTGTCTGTAGGTAAACACCCTGTATCTCTCTTCAGAAGTGAGATTCAGGGATGGCAAGAATTCCTAGTGGTGAATGTTTACTTTTGTCTCAGACATCCCATTAATGTCCCCAGAAAAGTGCAAGATCTCTGATATTCCTTCACATCAAGTGGCCACAGCCAAATCCCATCTTTAGATTTGTGACAGTGACACATTTTCACATGTAGACACAAGGTTCCACTCCAAATTTCTCCGGAGTGTTAACTTTTCTGGTTGACAGTCTAATTCTCCAGTTTTATAACCTTGTCCAGTCCTGGAAACATTCTCCAGCAATATCAAAAGTGGTGGATATAGAAAACATTCAGTCTTGCATTGAGTTAACAAAGTACTACAAATATACCTGTCTTTGGAAGCAAATATGCCTGGCATAAGTTGTCTTTCCTAACTGCAAACTTTGTTGTACTGTCTGGGATGTGTGCAACACAGAACTTTTCCTATAATTACAATCGTATGGGCTGAAACTACATAACTAGAGATTATAACCCTGCTTCTCCAGAGGACAGGGTATTAGCTTTCTCTCTGTAGACTCCGACTGCACAGTCCGGTGTCACATCACAACTTATTAACCCTACTGAAGTTCATCGTGTTTTAAACGCATAAAATCCTAATCATATCTTTATATGAGTATGAGCATAAAACAAACTACAATTTGTCTGGCACTGCTCACATAAGGAAACACATCTCTTCAGGCTTCCAATGTGCACCCAAAATATTACGGGTGTGTGTTTCCCTGTGAAAGTGAAACTAGATAGAATGCTGTTTAAAGAATAAAGTAAGGTGACATCACTCCGTTCACCTACTAAATTAGAAGTTTACTCATTCCCCTTCGGGTCTCAGCTGACCTGATTTGGATTTTAACCAGCAAGTAAACAAGCCCGATTAACAACACTATTCAACACCACTTCTAGCAAGATTCCAATATGCCTGTAGTTAAACAGTATTTCAGACCATCAGCACCCAGTCACTAATTTAAAAACTGACCTTTTGCATTTGCCACGTGGATGAGCCCGGTAAGCAGAAGGACAAGGAAAAATCTTATGAAAAAGAAGAAAGACAGCTGGCAAGGGTGCAATCGGATCAACTTCAGAGTAAGTCTACGGAACAGAGTGGCATTTGAAAAGGCACTGAAGCTCTCTCATGGCATCAGGCTGGTGGTGGTGACAGAGCCATCTGTCCTGTCTTTTTTGCCCTTTCCTGTCTGCCATTAATTTTCCACAAAGTCCCCAAGCGACAGTCCCCTCATAGTGACCATACTTGGAAACAAGGTGTATGACAGGCGGGAGGAGAATGGCAACAATCTCCAAGAGCCCCCACGTTACAACTTGGGAAAAAATAGCTGAGAGTTTGTAAAGTAGTGAAGAAGAGGTGAAAACTGAGAAGATCTGCTGACAGGAGGATTCAGCAGGCACGCACTCCCTTGTTACGTGTGCCTTTGAATTGTGGCACAGGAGCGGAGGCGCGCTCTCCTTGTGCACGCACTGCCGACAGTAAACAAGTGAGTATTTCTGGAGCAGCTGCATGTGTAAGTGGAGAGGTGCCTGTTGCTGTCCTGCAAAGTTAGTTTTATAGGAGCATCTGCCCTGTGCTTCTGAAACTCTCATTTCATGTACTAGCCACACCAGGCCTTCATTCAGCAAACAGTTCCTCAGGTCCAAAGTGTGTTTAAAGTTGTTTTTCTGGGCTAGATCAGTAATGAAGACAACTGCATACCATACTTTGCCTTTAAAATGCACAAACATCAGCACGATCTCAACTACAGTGCACACAGAAATTAATATAGTTTTCTTTATGTTCAGATCTGTACTATTCTTAGCAGCAGGCAAGTCTAGACATGGTTTACAGAGTTTGATTACACAAATTCCATCCAAGAGATATTATGCTAAAATTCAGTTCTGCTCCCCATATATTTAGTTACCATATTCATCATTAGACTGCCCAAATGTCTTAAAGTACTGCTTCATGCAATGTAATTAGCACTTATCGCATGTTAGTTTTCTGATATTTTTCCCCAGAAGGATATGTGCATCTGAGATCTTTTTATATCTTTTGTTTTGATATCTCAAAAGTAATGTGTGCACACAGATGCACACATTGCTGCACAGCCAAATGTGTATGAAATGTGCTGTGTCTGTGTAGCAGAGACTGTTTCATTTAATCTTGGTCAGTGGTTATGGAGGGAGGTTGCTCCATAGTGGCACAGACTGGCTCCAACGAAAGACTTAGCTCCTCTTATTGCTGAAACTCTGACTGTATCCAAAGGCCGAGTCTTGAAGCCTCTACTAATAAGTTTCCTACAAACTTTTCCACTTTTTTCTATTTATTTATTTTTTTATTTTTTTTTAAGCAATAAACTGATTTTAAGAAATAACTGTCTTACTGACTCCTGAAAAGTTTGACTGCATGCCTCATTGCATGTGACTTACCCATAGATAAGGTAAAAAGAGGGCATTTATTAAGACCCTGACTGTTTTAGTTCAAAACTTAGGAGTCTGTTGGTTCAACAACCTGAATTTTAGACATGCTTGAGCACCTAACATGTACAGTAAAATCAGTGGGTCCTAGTCTGGAACCTATGACTACACTTTTCACTACTGCTGTAGATCAGCAGGCAGGATATTTGAGGTCTTGGCTAAGTCTGTAGAAACCAGGCTAAGACTCAACCTGTTGATACAAAAACATAAAAAGCCATCTTTGAAAGCTGACACCAGCCTGGATGTCGAGGGAAATATGTTATTCCTGTAACTGAACAATATACTTGCTAAGTGCATCCTTAACACATAGCCCTGAGTTGTACTTGTGTCTGGTATCACCTCATCAGTACCTATTACTGTGCTGCAACAAAGAGTGGGACACAAACATTATACACTTGTGACATATATGACATGTCAGATAAGCTTCTACGTACAAATTGTGTTAGAATAAATGTCATCTTACGGAAGGGCACCAGTGGACAGCTGAATCAAAGGATAGTGCCTAAGCACTTTGATAGCTTAACAAGATGCTGTTCATCTGATAATTGTGTTCAGTCTTCATGCAGTTTCACCATCTGCAAGTTAAAAATAAAATGAAGTCAGGCATCCAGCTCATGGCCATTCATTTTAGGTATTAATGATAGGTACTCCCCAGCCTTTGTTTCCATTCCACACTACTGTTCTCAGGGCCCAGTAGGATAAATGAGCTCATGATGATGAGCTCACATTTGCATTTAACGTGATTTCCGTTATACAAGAGATGTACTAGAAGCTTGGCAAGAACACAGGGACCTGCAGCCATATGCCTTCAAGTGACTTGTGTAGATAGGAATTCATGACAGCAGCAAGGGACTAGTATTCCTCAGAATCGCTGACTTTTCTCTCGTTTTCTTCCTTTCTGTTAAAAAAAGGACGGAGTTATGTAAATAATATCATCCTGACAGTGCCTGTTTTGTTTCCACAGTAGGAACAATACTTGATTCCTCTTTTGTTTCAACTTCTGAAATAGCCTTTGCTTAATAACACTGGGCATATCTCTCTCTTGTGTGAATCAAGTATGTTCCATTGTTATGTGACCGACTGAACCATAACATGGTTCAAACAAATGCTCAAAACTATTTATTCATTAAACAGTTTCTTTCATATATTTTTTTGATTTTATATTTTTTGAAATTGTTGGCTCCTAGTCAGATTTGGAGATGCAAAATTTCTGGAAGTTTTGAAGTCCTACAAAGACACATTCCTTCCCAAGATTTATCAGGTTTTATGGCAGTTGTTCATTTTCTAGTAACTGAGGTTTGAAAATTAAGTGTGGACTATGTACTTGCTACCATTATTATTATCATTATCATTGTCATTGTCATTGTCATTGTCATTATTAATATTATAAATTTACTTCAATGATGTGAATTTTGCTTTTAGTTAAGAAAAAAAAACAACAAACAGGTGTCTATGTGGGAATAGTGGAAACAGTGGTATTACTAGTGTTCAGTTCTGTGTGATTTATAGATAGAAGAGATACGAACTTTGCGAGAAAAGTAATGTTTTTCTTCTGCTTGTCTACTAAAATGTATCACATCTTCATGAAAACTTCATGTTTATATATGTGTGATTCAGGTTTGAATAGTGAAAATAGAGCTGATAGCTAACACTCAGCTATACTCCATGAAAATGTATGTGGCAATATTTTTGTATTGTTAACATTGCACAATAGTCATTTGACCTCAGGAATAGAGGAATTTTAATAACACAAAGTTGTACTTTAGCTGCTGTACTTTTTTTTTCTTTTTTTTTTTTTTTTTTTCTTCAGTGAAATAACACCATGTGAATATCTTAATGTCTATGGAGGGAAAATTGACTGCTTGTTGTTCAGCAGCTATGTGCTTTAAGAAGGTGCTCTGGAGATTCTCTCACTGTTCATTCCAAATGAAAGTATTTCTTCTGTGGGAAATGTTCTCTTTTATTTTTTTTTCCAATTTTCCATTTTTTTTCAGCCATCCACAGGGGAAAAAATAAAATAATAATTGAAGAATACAGCTTCATATGCTAAAGTTTACAGGTTTTCTCTCAGATCCCAACACCTTTAAAAAAGCCATAGGAGCCCAGCAGAAGTGCTACACTCCCAAGTAGTGATCAGCTCAGAGGATGTTGCTGCCACATGGAACACATGGAGCATGTGGCAGTTGTATGAGAGGGCAAAGACTGGTGGTGTTACCTTGCCTCTTCCCCTTCACTCATGTG